GACGTTATAAACACCAAACTTGATGGTGTTTATGACGTCGAATATCGACGTCATAAACACCAAACTTGATGGTGTTTATGATGTCGAATATCGACGTCATAAACACCAAACTTGATGGTGTTTATGACGTCGAATATCGACGTCATAAACACCAAACTTGATGGTGTTTATGACGTCGAATATCGACGTTATAAACACCAAACTTGATGGTGTTTATGACGTCGAATATGGACGTCATAAACACCAAACTTGATGGTGTTTATGACGTCGAATATCGACGTTATAAACACCAAACTTGATGGTGTTTATGACGTCGAATATCGACGTCATAAACACCAAACTTGATGGTGTTTATGACGTCGAATATCGACGTTATAAACACCAAACTTGATGGTGTTTATGACGTCGAATATCGACGTCATAAACACCAAACTTGATGGTGTTTATGACGTCGAATATCGACGTCATAAACACCAAACTTGATGGTGTTTATGACGTCCAATATCGACGTCATAAACACCAAACTTGATGGTGTTTATGACGTCCAATATCGACGTCATAAACACCAAACTTGATGGTGTTTATGACGTCGAATATCGACGTCATAAACACCAAACTTGTTCGTGTTTATGACGTCGAATATCGACGTCATAAACACCAAAGTTGATCGTGTTTATGACGTCGAATATCGACGTCATAAACACCAAAGTTGACCGTGTTTATGACGTCGAATATCGACGTCATAAACACCAAAGTTGATCGTGTTTATGACGTCCAATATCGACGTCATAAACATCTAAGTTTATCGTGTTTATGACGTCGAATATCGACGCCATAAACACCAAAGTTGATCGTGTTTATGACAACGAATATCGACGTCATAAACACCAAAGTTGAGCGTGTTTATGACGTCGAATATCGACGTCATAAACACCAAAGTTGATCGTGTTTATGACGTCGAATATCGACGTCATAAACACCAAAGTTGCTCGTGTTTATGACGTCGAATATCGACGTCATATACACCAAAGTTGCTCGTGTTTATGACGTCGAATATCGACGTCATAAACACCAAAGTTGCTCGTGTTTATGACGTCGAATATCGACGTCATAAACACCAAAGTTGCTCGTGTTTATGACGTCGAATATCGACGTCATAAACACCAAAGTTGCTCGTGTTTATGACGTCGAATATCGACGTCATAAACACCAAAGTTGCTCGTGTTTATGACGTCGAATATCGACGTCATAAACACCAAACTTGCTCGTGTTTATGACGTCGATATTCGACGTGTTTATGACGTCGATATTCGCCCGTGTTTATGACGTCGAATATCGACGTCATAAACACCAAACGTGCTCGTGTTTATGACGTCGAATATCGACGTCATAAACACCAAACTTGCTCGTGTTTATGACGTCGATATTCGACGTGTTTATGACGTCGATATTCGACGTCATAAACACCAAACTTGCAATGTTGCTCGTGTTTATGACGTCGAATATCGACGTCATAAACACCAAAGTTGCTCGTGTTTATGACGTCGAATATCGACGTCATAAACACCAAACTTGCTCGTGTTTATGACGTCGAATATCGACGTCATAAACACCAAACTTGCTCGTGTTTATGAGGTCGAATATCGACGTCATAAACACCAAACTTGCTCGTGTTTATGACGTCGAATATCGACGTCATAAACACCAAACTTGCTCGTGTTTATGACGTCGAATATCGACGTCATAAACACCAAAGTTGCTCGTGTTTATGACGTCGAATATCGACGTCATAAACACCAAACTTGCTCGTGTTTATGACGTCGAATATCGACGTCATAAACACCAAACTTGCTCGTGTTTATGACGTCGAATATCGACGTCATAAACACCAAACTTGCTCGTGTTTATGAGGTCGAATATCGACGTCATAAACACCAAACTTGCTCGTGTTTATGACGTCGAATATCGACGTCATAAACACCAAAGTTGCTCGTGTTTATGACGTCGAATATCGACGTCATAAACGCCAAAGTTGCTCGTGTTTATGACGTCGAATATCGACGTCATAAACGCCAAAGTTGCTCGTGTTTATGACGTCGAATATCAACGTGGCGTCTAGTGTTGCTACAGGATAAAACCTTAAGTAAATTATTTATGCTGAATACCACTTTCTGCTCTAAACTGTGTTTCGTAGGTGTCCAGTCAGGGCTATTCCTAGCTTATTGAAACAGTTTTACGACAGCGGGAAACCGGTCTACCCATAGACAACCTGCGGTGTTTACTACACTTCTCACATTCGACTATAATAATTATAATGAGACAACTGCATATTGCAGGAATCTGACGCATTCACAGAGTTGAAAGACGCTTGCGCTAAGCTGTAATCACTGTGTCACCGTTCATCTTTGTCTTTGTAGTTTGAGACGAACAATGATTATGTTCGCACAGACATTATTCAAGAATTTTCAATCTCTGGAAATGGAAAGAAACCGGTACGGTATATTATAGAAGACTGATTTTTTTTATGGCAGGATTAACAAGTGTCTGTGTCAACTTGCCATACAATTCATCAGCATTTATATTTTAATTGCTTGGTTCCATTCTATTCTTAATTATCCAAACAGCTGTAACTGGACATATGACTTTTCTTAATATGCGAATTCGATGACAACAGGCAATAACCATGGTTTAGTCGAGACCTGCACGCGTAAAAAGCTCACAACTTGTCAACAAGATGTGTTTGCAACGGACTTGTAGTAAGCTTTCAACAAGTTGTAACAGTGCTGTTATTTTATCAAGTTGCTACAAGGTTGTCACTCGCAATTTGTTGACAAGTTGTTGAACTGCAGAACGATAATAGGTTGTTGGAACAACTTGTAACAAGTCTGTTGAGCTCAACAATCTTGTATCAAGTTGTCAACAAGCCGTTGACAACTTGTCAACAAGCTGGGAACTAGCAGTGCGCACACATCCTGTTGACAAGTTGTTGGAACAGCTTACTACAAGTCTGCTGTAGGTCTGTTACAATTTGTGCGTTTTTACGTGTGTAGGACTTTCTATTTATGTTTCGGCGCTTTTTCACGTGAGAACGGGCATCCCGCCTCGTGACGTCATTGAAGTCGATTAACCTGCAAATCAAGTACTGCCTGCCGAGTAAAGGCGCTAGATCTAGGTTGATATTATGCTATTTATTTACGTAGGCACGGCTTAGTGTAACCCCGTTACGTACTGGCAATCTTCAGGTCACTGGAATCAAATACAGTCTGAGCAGTGTCACCTTAAGTGGACCTGTTGATTACATTAGTACAAAGAGTGCTGCAACCGCTGACCACCCGGCTGTATCTGCAGTCAGTGTACTGGGAAGGTTGGATATTGGCGTACGTGGACCGCGGCTGAACAGTAGTAAAGTCGAGAGATCATCAGTGATGTATGGTGAAGATAATAGATTGAATATTGTCATCGTGAAACCAATGCCACGACTTGAGGTATGGTTCACAGATAGCTTTAAGGCTGATTTACCTACGTTGTCGTAAATGAGTTGTGTACTTAATTTACACAGTACAACTCAAGTTGTAAGCAGGTTGCATGCGACAGTTTTAGGCCAAATTGGTGTAGTGTAAATCTGCCTTTAATATCTCACTGAACAGCACTGAAACTTAACTCATTTTATGAATAGTAATAGCTGTATCAGTTCTAAACTTCTCTTGGTAGAGGTCCAGAACTTCGATGTTGGAATGGGTGATTCCAGGGGCGGATCCAGACCGATGCCAACGATGCGAATGCATCGGTCAAAATTGAGAAATCATGTTGCTTGAAATAATATGTCGTCAATACTTAGTCAAGCACTCAGTAATAGAATATCTTTGAATCACTCCAGCTATCAAACCGCAAATATTTGCTTAAACTTGACTCCATGTGACTGTCCATGTCGGGAATACACTATTTAGGATGAAATCCAATTTAAATTGTCTCAATAACAGTCGAAATTGTCAAAATAAGTCCAATATGCGACGTGCGATCGCAAAAGTATTTTCTGTTGTTTACTTTTTATTTTGCGACACTTAAGCGTGAATAATTTCGCGACAAAATATATTATTTTTTACCGCATCCTTTGACGTCACAGTAGAAAGCTGATGCATCACCTACGTCACGGTAGATTTTGTTTGCATCGATTTTCAGCCATTTTGCATCAGTGAATGCATCGGTCCAGAGTCCTTTTCCACGTAAAATCTACTGTGACATCATCAAATCTATTGTTTTAGAGCCCTACGTCACGGTAGATTAGTCCGCTGAGCGATGCATCGCATGCAGATTGCGGGCGCTCGCATCAGTTCACTGATGCAAATTTCAAAATCAAAATCTACTGTGACGTAACGAGGCATTCGATTCAAGTCATGGCGGCAAGGATATGCAAACACTATATGCAAATGAACAAATAATTGCGAAGAAATATCCCTCGAATATGACTTGATGGAGAGCAATTAAGTTACAGTCGAATTAATTACCATGGTTTGGAATGAATTTGATCTTTCAACTGAGCAGTGAGCACAAGAATTGAAGTATATTTATACTGTGAGAATGTGAGATGCCCACTACGGCCACTAGGGCTCTAAAGTAAGTGGAATTTATGTATATTTTACATTGTAGTACATTGTTAATTGTTCAGTTCAATCAGAATGTAGATTTGTATGTATTAACATAATAATTAAAGTTTGTGTCTATTTGATACTGCTGTTCATACCAGGGGGGGGGGGGGAGAGATTTGTTTGTCTGGAGGCAAACCAGCCCCATTACCAAACTTGACAGCTTGCTTTACTGAGGCAAATTTCATCTCTGTTTACATGGGATTTATATAACCTGTGCCCATGCAGACCTTCATTTTTCTCACAGCTGGCGGGCAAAGAAAAATGAAGACCTGATAAAGTCACATGTTATTAAATGTTTGTGTCCTACAACTGCTTTTATGGTTGTAACTCTGATTGCCGACTACTTCTAGCATTGCCATATTTAATGTATTTTTTTTATATTTTGGTTAGTGCTATATATAATTAAATAATGATAGATTAAATAGTGATTGTAACTATATTTAGCTTGTTGTTAAATTATGTGAAATAATTTGACATTTCGCCTGGCACATTTTGATTGGATACCGGTACTAAAAATAAAACTTTGGTGTCGGTCAAGACTTGCATCAGGCACTGTACAGTATGTAATTACAATGCATAATAATATTGCAGGTTAATTAACCCATTGAGTCGCATTGCACCCTGATGCACCCTACTTTAGTATTTTACTCTGTCTAACGCCAGACGATTTTACTTGTCAAGGGGAGAGTGCTGGCGCTTAATGGGTTAATGAGCTAGATTTCTAATAGTGATGCAATATTGGTTAGAAAACATTACATTTCATTTTATATGGAAATGAGCTGGCGTGCCTCATGACAAGAGTATAATTGCTTTGCATTGCCTGAGTTATTGGGCAATTACTGTACACTGGATATTTTGCAAACAAAGATCATTACCTGGGCTTGCTCGCCTACGATAGTTTGGTACATATGCTTTGTCGGTGCAAATATAATTTGATATAAGCTGTATATGTCATTCTGTTGACAAATTTTAATCTTAGAATGATAAAATGATGGACGTTTATAAATACTGTATATAACTGCATGTAACTGGTGTATATAGGTTATAATTATGAAATTTGCTCACAAAAGTGGTATAGATTTAATTAAATTATATATATTTGTAGTGCTTAATTCTCCCAATACTATGTTTTGGATAGCAAGCATGGCTCTCTGAGGATTACCATTGATAAGTGTACGGATATATTTGACGAAGATGTGCATTTATATAGTAACACAGGGAAAATATTGATCAATACTACTGCGCAGCCTTTCTACATTGACATCATCTTAAAAGAGTACTATATTAATATATTAGTTGAAAGGCAGGCAAAAGGGGACTGATAGAAGACATCTGATGATTCAATTATGTCATCATATATTGTTTATCATTGTACAGTTTGGTAGGTTCATTTGACAAGCAATTTTCAACTAAGATAGTTCATTAAATCAATTTACACACAGTATCACTATATATATCTATATTGATTTAAAGTTTGGGGTCATGTGTACCTATAGTTATACTTATAGAATTTTAAAACTCAGTGCTTGTTGTGTGTTAGTTTTACTGGTTTCCTGGTGACAGGGCAATATTCTCAATAATTTAGAGTGTGGGCTAGTCACCATACAAATATGCAATTCACATCAAAGGCATCTATTGCTAGGGGTGAATAAAGTTGACATACTGATGCCAACAACACTGTCCATACAGAGTAAGGTTAGCAGCATAAGACAGAGTTGTATATAAATAAGTTTACCAACTAGAGCACAAAATACCTTTATGCACCATTCTAATGCTAAAAAAATTTACTCATGGAACATTGCAAATTAGTGGAAATGAATAAGCCTCAGGGAAGGTGGTTAAGAAACCTAATAACACTGTCTTTTGAGTCCAACATTGCAACTAGTGGATCACACTGTATACACCTTTGTTACACAGTATGTGTGTATTTGCGTTGTCGTGATTTTTTGCCGAAATGTTTTTCAATAGAAAAGTTAAGGCTACAAGAAGCACAGTAGTAAGTACTGACTATTTTTTAATAGAGACTTATGCACCGCTGCTGCTATTACACTTGTACAAGCAAATATTTTTTCTTATATGGAAAAATTATGTTGTTTTTGCGATATATAGGTTCAAGTTTTTTACGTGCTTTCCAAAAATGCAGCAAATAATTTTGTGACTCTGATGTATGAATTGGAACAAAAGAGTTTGCTCAGAACGCAGGAAATCGCATTTCCGAGGTTCTAGATTTCAAAATTTCCCGGGGGAGGATACCCCCGGACCCCCCGACAAATGCGAGTTCTTATGTATGCATCAGTCAGTTCAGGAGCTGGATCCGCCCCTGTATTAAAGTCAGTTCTTGCTCAAACACAGAGCCTTTTTGAAGAAGGACCGTTATCCGATAACCGTGTAGCTTCTTTAGATGCTCTTGAAAACTTGTCAATAAAAATGGATGAAATTTGCGAGACGTTGGTCGTATTCCTGAATAGCTTTATAAATCCTACAGATGACCCTTTGTGGGAGCAATTATATCATCTATTATGCGTTTTTCATGGAATAAAAAAGTATATAGAAGAAGAAACTAACAAGCTTCGTGAGGACGAAGAAAATGCAGAGATGCGTACTTCGAGTGTTGTAGGCACCAATAATGGAGGCCGTCCTAGGTATGAAATTGATGAAGAACAGGTAATGTTCTTACGATCAAAGCATTTTACATGGAAGAAAATCGCGCAAATTTTTGGTATTTGTGACCGTACTCTACGACGGAAACGACAGGAGTTTACTGCAAGAACGGAAAACTTTAGTGATATATCTGAGGCTGACCTTTGTGAAGTGATTGAGAGTATTCGTTTTCTGACCCCCAATATTGGACAATCTCGCTTACTTGGGGCTCTTAGATGCAGAGGATTTACCATTCAAAGATGGAGGGTACGACATTGCCTAAGAAAATTAGACCCAGTGGGCACAGCATTGCGTGGTCATGTGGCTATCTACAGAAGGAAATACAATGTACCATACCCAAATTTTCTTTGGCACCTGGATGGTAATCATAAACTCATTAACTGGAGAATGGTTGTGCATGCTTGCATTGATGGCTTTAGCAGAATGGTAATTTATGTGTCATGCCAAAACAACAATTTAGCTTCTACTGTTTTTAATTTATTTCTTGACGGTGTTTCCAAGTATGGTTTGCCAAAAAAAATAAGAACTGACCATGGGTTAGAAAATGTCCATGTTGCTAGGTATATGCTTCAGCAAAGAGGTACAGATTGTGGCAGTGTACTTACTGGAAGATCAGTGCATAATGTAAGAGTGGAGCGACTCCATAGGGATGTGCATTCTGGTGTTCTCTGCCATTATGCTTTACTTTTCACTTTTATGGAAGAAGAAGGTTTACTCAATGTTGATAGTGAAGAGCACTTGCTAGCTCTTCAGGAAGTATTTATTCCACGCATCAACAGGAGCCTCAATGAATTTGTGAACCAATGGAACAGCCATCCAGTTAGCAGTGCTGGGCATCAGAGCCCAGAGCAGGTGTTTATTACCGGTTCGTTAAATTCTGCCACTTCCATTCATGGTAATGAAGATTCGCCTGCTGAGTCTGATGAGACAGTAGGGGCTGGACTTGCAGAAGATGACATGCTGGATCCTGATTTCATTGTACAAGAAGAGCTTTATGCAGTATTTGTTCCACAAACCGAACTTGAAATTCCCAGCAATCTAAGCAGTGAACAGTTTTTAACTGATGATGGCAATTATGGAATTAATCATTTTATCACATGTTTACGAGCAATACAAGAAAACAATGAATAATTAATTGAAACGTTTTATTGAAACAATTTACATTTATCTTTAATTTATAAGAATATAACAACTGACTAGCAATATAACTCTCCCTGATTGTTTTTGCAGTAGTAACAATGGAGGTCAAGACATGCACTGAAACTTAGTTTTGCTGAGTTAGACTTGTTAGTTCCAGCCAGAACCCAGCAGTTGCATCACATTTGTTAAATAAAATATTGTGCACATATTTTGTGACAAGTTGTTAATTTCCGCTTTTTAAAACTTGTGTTAAAGAGCCACCTTTGAATATGTGGTTCCGTTGGTAGCCTAAAGGTTACAGTCGGAACTCTTCCCCACTTCTTTTGAGATCTAGTTATCTTATGGCAAGATCTTGAAAAGATGGTTCCACTGCACCTCCTAGTAAATTGGTTGATTTCGACTGAGCGATGGTAATGAAAATGTAGATTGTAATGGCACCAGATTTTAATATATGGTATGGAGAGTTATATTGCTAGTTTTAAAAGAGATACGTGATGCCATTTTAATGAATGAACAACTAACCAACTAATCAAACTACCATTAAAAACACAACACCTTGGTAAATGTAATACAGTTCTTACTGCATATATGTTAATTTAATATAAAGAATATAAAACGGAGGCTTCAAAAAGTTTACTCCAGTAGTCCAGTTAGACTATATCAAATTCCCAAAAGCCCTTCCCTCTTAATAAACTACTGAACTCTTCAGATAATTCACTAAATGACTGGTATGTCGATGGCAATTCCAAACTAGGGGTACATGTGTGAGCAATGGGCCTACGTGCTAACCCATCTACACTAACAAAGTGACTTCTAA